GACGACTAAACTAAAGCTGATGACAGCAGTGTAGCATGGTGCATTTCTGTCAAACAAAAATGTTGTATGGATGGTGCAATGAAACACATTGTGATGTTGTGAACAAATAGTTGTTCTGGATTTGCGTATCACACGAAAATTGTTCTGTGCGCGAATTGTATCCATGGGTATGCAGTGCAGCAGCTGGTGACTCAGCTACGGCGTCAACACAGTTATCCAAATAAATTAACATGCAGGTATGCTTTTATAACATGATGATATTCGTTTCTATGAGATACAATCGTTATAATGAGTTCCTCATAGCAAGCATGGACTCACAGATTCCCAAAAACTAATTAATGGACAGCGTGTTTTCATGGTTAAGCGTTTTGAAATACGTGGTATAGCGTAGGTACTATGATACTTGTATCTACAGTAGAAAAGTAATGTTAACGTAACATTGTTTAACTTTTATGTTATTTTGATCATTTTAAAGTACGATGAATACACTCTAGATCAAATTGCTTCCACTTTTTTGCTTCTGTGATAGTTATCATTAAGTACTTTTATTATCTGAGCATAAAGCTAATCATATTCTTCATAGTTAGAAAATAGGCCGATTTATAATAAAATACTATTTATTAAACAACAATCATTTAATTTTTGTAGCTAACAGTATTTATTTTTCACAGCTTATTTGCGCAGGTAGTAGGCGGCGTAGGGTGAGGCGTAGGGGTAGGCGGAGTACGCAGCGAGGGGAGCGGAGTACGCAGAGTAGGCGAGGGGCGCGGTGTAGGCGGCCGACACCACGGGAGCGGTGTACGCCGCAGCCACCGGCGCTGTGTATGCAGCGCTGTACAGCACACCAGGCTTGGGGTCAGCGATAGCTGCCACCAACATGCAGGCAAGGACGATCTGGAAATAAAACTTTTCATTAGATCACTGATATCCTGTTAGAATTTAGGTAGTGTATTGTCAACATATGCACTTGAGATACTTACGATTGACTTGAACATTTTGATTGTTTTCACTGAGCTAGTGCTGCACTGAATGATGCAAATGGTGAGATACCTACGAATTATATAGTGATTTAAGAAGGCCGTAGGCTTGTACGCAACGTGAGGTTAATGAAACTGGCTACCATGTTGCGTGTAGAATAACAATGATTTTCCTTCAATCACAATCTTCAATGAACCTTTAACTCTCAATCTCGTTGTAAGAAAGCAATGAGTTCCGTAAATCCATCCAGTAGAAAATAAAAGTCATAATTATAGATTTGTATAATAATTATATCACTTATGATAAACTGGCTTCGTGAAATTATTCATGCAATTAATTATACCCCAGACGATGATTGTTTTCATCATATTTTTAAAATGAAAGGGCGTGGACATGGCTTTAATAATGACCATGAAAAGCTTATGAAATATGAAATTAAAATATTTCTTAAGGTTTTAATAAAGTAGCATAGGTACATTTCATTCAATCACAGAATGGAACTGTTTCCTAAGTTATGCTGATTACTATTCCTTGCGCGGTAAAACATCGGCTGGACTTGCGCATTGGGCATTCGACCTTCTGTTATTTCTCGTACTATAAAACCTGTGGACCACAGTTTTTTTATATCATTCAGTGCAGCAGCAGCTCAGTGAAAACAATCAAAATGTTCAAATACATGGTAAGCTATATTCTATTCGAAGTGACGTTAAACCGTTTGATCATCAAAGAACTGGCATTTAATATTTTTGATAAAAACTTAAGAGCACATGTTGTGCTTGGAAGTAACCTGAAAATTATTTATGATCTATTTATCAAAATTTCTTTCTTTCCAGATCGTCCTCGCCTGCATGTTGGTGGCAGCTATCGCTGACCCCAAGCCTGGTGTGCTGTACAGCGCTGCATACACAGCGCCGGTGGCTGCGGCGTACACCGCTCCCGTGGTGTCGGCCGCCTACACCGCGCCCCTCGCCTACTCCGCGTACTCTGCACCCCTCGCCGCGTACTCCGCCTACCCCTATGCCTCACCCTACGCTGCTTACTACCTACGCAAGTGAATCACCTATTCCTAAAAACATAATATAAAATGCAATCGATTACAAATAAAATAATTATTTAAAGAAATACCCTTTTTCATTTTCATACAATTACATTTTTGTATATTGATATTTATTTTTAAGATTTAGAATTAAAAAGTTACACATGCAGTAGATTAAAAGCCGATTTTAAAACCACCGATAATTTTTATTCTATGAATAAAATTTAAGTCTGAAATGATTTCGTATAGAAAATGACAAAATTATTCCTCCGATAAAGTTATCTGGCGTTGGAAAAATCGACCGTTAGTTGTATAGAGCTATCTAACGTAAACCACCAAATAAGCAAACGTCATGTAGCTCAGTCATTTGGTAGTTCTACCTGAAATGTTTTGCAAGAGTTTTGAAAATTAGCAATTTTGTAGTGATCTTGATGTGCTCTTTTACATTATTCCAAGATGCCGTCATTTTTTCAAGATGGCGGGGCGTGCAGCACACGTAGGAGGGTGCATAATGGAAGTCGGAATAAATACATCAAGATCTAAAAAATTGCCTAAATCTCTAAAAGTTTCTAAGGTCTAAAAAAAAGAAATTACAAAGACTGCCTCGTGGCTGAGCGGTCGCAAGTGCGACTGCAGGGCAAGGGGTCTCGGGTTCGATTCCCGAGTCGGGCAGATTATTACTGGATTTAAAAAAAAATCTCAGTAGTAGCACGGAGTCTGGAATTGTGCCCGGTATACCGGGCCAAAAAAACCCTATTGCCATATATGGCAATAAAAAAACCCTATTGCCATATATGGCAATAGGGTTTTTGTTTCTTCTCCTCTTATAATATCTTCTGATTCACTTCGTTGCGGAAACCAAGACAGTTATTCATGTCCCTGGGACGCGCCGGACTTCAGTGTTCCGGTGTTTTCATGGTTGTACTGTAGATCCTGGCTTACAGGAGTTGCAGCGGTTTTTGGAGGTTGGGGCGGGCTTGTCAAGCTCACCACCTATTACATGGAACTCATAACATTAATAGTGAAAAATGGGTGTTATATTGTACAGTGGCATTAAGCGCCATAATGTGCACCTCTGCCTACCTTTTCGGGGATAAAAAGGCGTGATGTTATGTTATGTTATCTACAAAATTGGCAATATTCAAAACTCCTGGAAAACATTCCAGTCAACACCAATATTTCCGCCGTAATAATATTACTTTGAAGTAATTATAACCACAGTTAAGTAGAGGTATATAAAAATAGAATGTAAACCAATGTTATTATCGACGAAGATTTTTGAAAAATGGTTAAAAAATGTCCAAGATTATTTGCTAACAAGCAACAACTGTGTGGACAGTCAAATATGGAGCACATTGAATAGTAAAAACGCTTAGCCAACCAGTGCATCAAAAATCATTTAAGTGGCATTGTTCTGATTCCAAACATTACTAAAGCGTGTGTAACGCAGACATTACATGGACACCGTCTACCATGAATAGGCAATCAAAGTCATGCAAATGAAACACCTTCATCGTGAATCGAATTCCAACTTCTAGGTATTCTATGTACCTAGGTACCTTGAACAAGGAAAATAGTTTTATGAACAAACCTACGGAATTAATTTACGACTTTCAAATGAGGGGAGATTTTATTTTGGACTACAATAAACTTAATATATTTCTTGAAACTTAACTGGCATCTAATTATCCTCATTGAAAAAGATACCTAGTTGACATACCAGCAGTAAATAGGTACTTATCCTTTAAACACAGGTGATTGTCTAATCATATAGGAGGATATGATAATATATAATAGGAGATGTCTATCTCCTATAATTGAGCTAGTCCCAAGTCACTGATCGAGCACAATAGTACTTGTAATTAACAAGCAAATCTTATACTATTATATAGAGCTGAAGCTATAATACATCACGATACGAACAATAGGCGCCGAGCAGAGCGGGTAAAACCGCGTGGAAACAGCGAGTATACTAAATAAAATAGACAATAATGGTCTAATTTGCTTAATCTACTGTCCAACTCAGAGCTTTACACGTTTATATTTACTTTTGTGCCTCAAATAAGACCATGTTTAGCAGTTATTGTTTTGACGACGACGTAATCGAACCAGGAAACTTTATGATACAATTGTTATTTAGTCAAAAAATAACCATAGGTCTTTATAAATATTGTTTATTCAATATGCTTATACAAAATTAAGAAACAGGACGTATCTTTTAAGAAATAAATTATATGCCAACAATATAATATGTGCTTTGTGTAACTAGCCACGTGGTGATGCAAAATCGAAGTGTAAACTCAAATTAAACTAAGTATGTACTTGAAATTGCAAATCCAAGCTCGAAGCAAATATTACTAACTTAAACTAATAGTAATTATACTACGCGATTATACTTTTTGAACTAGCATTATTCTCCGAATATTATGGTTTTTATTATTCTGAAAATTGATACTACTTTGCTTGGCCTAGAAATTGAACATGAAACCGGTTATCCGATACCCAAACTTGCGACTACATATCCCGAATATTTTTAGTCTTGTAAAAGTGTGCAGCTATGTTATTAGTTTCATATGAATAGAAAAACGTTATCAAAGACTTTATATTTCAGGTACTGCATGAATTTTTGTATGAAATTATGGGAGTGAAATAAACCTGATAGTATCCGTACCTAATACCATTAGCATACATCTTTTTTTATTCGACATTTATGCCGTTAGTCTAGCTAGAATATGACTGAAAATAAAACCAAAAATTTTGACAATCTTTTCACTTCTCGAGACAATGATTGATTTCAATAAAATCCGTCTGATAATTCATTATTTATGAAAATTCATTTGACTGTCTTAGCCAAAGATCGGAGGAAACTCATGATTATGCTGCACGCAGCAGCGTTCTCGATTAACCTCACGTTGCGTACTAGCGTGCATTTGGCCTTCTCAACTTACTATAAAATTGGTAGCTTTGACATCTTTCTTATCATTCAGTGAAGCAGTAGCTCAGTGAAAACAATCAAAATGTTCAAATACATGGTGCGTATAAAAAAAAAGTTTTGTGTAAATAGTTGGTGAATGTAATTAAGTGAAGTGAGATTGTGTGATAGAGCTCTTTTTCAGCGAAACAACAGTTTTGAAAAACAATTTTAGTGTAGCTTTGAAAATGTGGAATAACAGGGCGAAATGAATTCGTAGTTAAAACTAAAATATTATTTTCTCTTCCAGATCGTCCTTGTCTGCATGTTGGTGGCAGCTATCGCTGACCCCAAGCCGGGTGTGCTGTACAGCGCAGCATACACAGCGCCGGTGGCTGCAGCGTACACCGCTCCCGTGGTGTCGGCCGCCTATACCGCGCCCCTCGCCTACTCCGCGTACTCCGCACCCCTCGCCGCGTACTCCGCCTACCCCTACGCCTCACCCTACGCCGCTTACTACCTGCGCAAGTGATTTCAACAAGACGATGACAACACAGCGAATGAATAAATGAAATATTTACCACCACTTTCTTATTTTATTTATCACATCTTAACATTATGTCCAAATATTGATCTTCAAATAGACACATTTTTAGATCAAAAATCAGAAAAAAAATTACTCAATAATGATTATACACACATTTTTGAATATTATTAGCATAATAGTACTTCAAACAACATGAATTTGCATCATCGAATCAATAAATAAAATAGCAAAGAGTAGGCCAAAATCCAAAGTACAAAGCATTAATTCAGAAATCGAACCTTTACGCTTAGCAGATCCGAGTAAAAAAAACTTATCATAAAACTGAAAAAATACAAATAACAATAGCTAACAAAACCAGATCACTTAACACATCTGTCTTGTTAAGTGATCTGGTTTTGTTAGAGTAAGATGTTAAGTTTGTATTTATATAACATAACATAACATCACGCCTCTTATCCCCGAAGGGGTAGGCAGAGGTGCACATTATACCACTGTACAATGTAACACCCACTTTTCACTATTTATGTTATGAGTCCCATGTAATAGAGGGTGAGCCTATTGCCATATACCGGGCACAATTCCAAACTCCGTGCTACTACTGAGAATTATTTAAAAACCTAGTAATACTTTGCCCGACTCGGGAATCGAACCCAAGACCCCTTGCCCGGCAATCGCACTTGCGACCACTCGGCCAACGAGGCAGTCATATTTATATGTATACAAAATTATTCATTAGAACTTTAATAAATACCTAAATTATAATTTTGTGTCCATTACGTTATATCATTATAATATGAGCTTATGGCACCGACTTCTAACCTATCAGTGGGTGGGTAACCTATCAGTACTAATAATAGTTAATTTTTGCTTTTTATTTTGACGATTTGCTTGTTACTAGTTTTTGGTTTTTTGAAGGTTTTATTTTATTATTTTATCATTTTCAGTGCAAAGCTACATAGATCCGTTTTGTCCCTTATAATCTACATATGTGCAAGGTATAAGTGTGCATAGTGCAATCAATACAAATTATACAAACCCAAACACAAAGTAGTTGCTATAAACCGTTGAAGAGTTCCCTTAACAATTACACTTCTTCATCATCAGACCCTTAATGACAGTCCCGCACCATTTAGGTGTAAAGTTCTCATCAATACAAATTCATCAAGCCCAAACACAAGATAAGCACTGTATACCGTTGAGGAGTTCCCTTAACAATTACACTTCCTCATCATCAGACCCTTAATGGCAATCTCACTTCATTTAGGTGTAAAGTTCTCATTAATACAAATTAATCAAGTCCAAACACAAGGTAGTTAATATAAACCCTTGAGGAGTTCCCTCGGCTTTCTGTCGGCTCCATCATCAGGTCGACTACAGATCCTTATCAAATTGTAGTGTTTAAAAATTCTAATTGAAAAACATAATAGACGCTTTACTCGCCCCTATATTTTTCGAAAGCTCCCCTCGGTTTCCCTAGGATTCTATCATCAGATCCTGACCTCATGAAACTAAAACTATCTCGGCAGTATATCCTTTCAAAGAAAACAAGAATTTTGGAAATCGGTTCACAAATGGCGGAGTAATCGGTGACAAACACTCCTTCTTATTTGGAAGTCGGTAAAAATAACGTAATCAAAGGACACAGGTTCAGGCCTCTAATTATTATGGTACAACCACTATGAAGCGATTACGGCCCCATTAACAACAATGCAGTATTCTGAAATTGGTTTATAGCTATATTGTTAACAACTTAACTAACTACATATGAACAAAGTAAACTGACAAAAATACACGCGATGTTATGGTGTCATGGTATATTAATCTAACCTAAAATCAGAGCAAACAGAAACACGATATTTGAAGGGAACAGCGCGATGGATAGAATTTAGACCCATTTTCACACCAGGTCAAGGCTTTTCGACCTTAGCTTAGTGGACAAACCTTGGCTTCCATAACTGTTAATGGCCGTCAAACGTATAGAGACAGAATTTTTTATTCAAATTAGGCCATTAAAGGGAACATCTTGAAAGGTAAAATTGCCCAACACAGGCGCTAGTCGGTTATTCAGGCATTAACAGACGAAATTACAAAGCTCATGTAAGATTGGTAATAATTGTTGTGCTTGGTGAAGTGGGTTTTTTTTAATACTTGTTTGCTGGCATTGTATTATGATCCTAGTATATGAAATATGTAAAAATGACTGAAAAACGTATCTATGTCAAAATCAAAATGTCTAAAAATATAAAATCTATCGTTTTATGAAAATGTTTACGAAAATTAAATATTAAAAAAATGTTAATGTTTAAATATATTGTTTGTATTTTTGTTTGTTGTTTTTAAGGAAATCATTTAAAATCTTTTTGTCTAATTATCTCAAAATTTAATATTGTACAGCTTTAGAAGAATTTTATTTAAATTTGTGTTTATAATATATTTGCAGACGAATACAAAATTTTAATGTTAATGTTAATGTTTGTTTGTTTTTTGAAGTTTTGTGAGTTTATGTAAAATTGTAAATGATGTAATGAAATAAAATGTATTTACTTTTTGTTTTTGGTATTTATGGTCATTTTACTTTATTTCATTTCTTTTTTCGTTTATGTAATTAAATTGAAATTAGGCTAACCTAAGATTAACATCACGATAACAAAAGAAAGTTGGTCGTAACATAACATCGCGTCTTTTATTCACAGATTAAACTGTCAAACACCAAGCGGTGACCGCGACCTATTGTTCTTTAATTGTGTCTATAAAACCGGTACTCGACGAGTTAAATACACATTCATCTACTAGATAAGTTATCAATATGTACATTAGTATCATTGATATGCCAATCATAATTCTCTATTCCAGACACTTTACTATTCAAAAAAAAATCTAGGATAAGCCGGACAAAGGGCTTGTTCACAAAACTGCGAAGCGACGTCGCATCGTAAAATTGGCGAGCCCCTAGCTCTACGCATCGCAAGAACTTGCGAATTGATTCGCATCGCCCATCAAAATCTTATCTTCTTTGTTTCTTTTTCCTGTATATCCTAAGCAATGACAGAAGTGCACATTTATTTTTAACATCCATGTCATGACGTAGTTTTCAATTTAAAATACGTTTAGTACGGTTGACGGTCGTCGAAGGAATAGTCAACCTGGCAATCGCCTTGTCGCACGAAATAGCATCGCAGCAATTCACATCGTAATTTTTTACGCTGCGAATTCGCATCGCATCGCAGTTTTGTGTCCGAGCCCTTATTTAGATCGAGTGATCTCACTTCTCGATCAACTCGATCAAGAAAAATTATGAATGTTATTATGAACAAAACAAAAAAAAATGTGATTGTTATGAATGAAGCCAATTTGGAATTGGACTTGTGGTCATACTTCGATGATTACTAGGTACCTACAGATTAAACACGACATCCTTTATCGATTCCCAAATCTATGTGCGTGCTACCTCTGCCACGGTTCGCTCATGAGAATTTCCTTAACACTTTCGGTTGAACTTAGCAATTGTCATTCAGTTCACAACTCTTTGACCACTACCCAAACTTCGTTTTACCTCTGTACATAGCATTGCGTCCATTGTCCTTCGTATCTTACTATAAAGTTGGTCAGTACTGTAGGTTTGATATCATTCAGTGCATCAGCATCTCAGTGACAACAACAAAAATGTTCAAATACGTAAGTATTTTGCAAACTTAGTATATCAGAACGATTAAGGAGATATGAATCGTTGTAATGTCTTAGACGTGGTATGTTTACAATATCGTGGCAAGGATAACAAAGGGATTAAATGTTTCTTAAGATTACTATTAAAATAATTGTCATTCTAAGTAAAACATAAATAACGTCTTCATAAAAGTGAATTTTAAATTTGAAAAATGTACTCAATGATCCTTAGCAACTTACCTTACTCATCAACTTACTTTCAATGAAATTTTCCGTTCAAAAATTTTAGGGAGTTATATTTTCAGTGTAATGTTGGTAATTGTTATAATATTATTTTTTTCTACAGTTCGTATTCATCTGCATGTTGGCGGTGGCTTTTGCCGACCCCAAGCCTGGTGTGCTGTACAGCGCTGCATACACAGCGCCGGTGGCTGCGGCGTACACCGCTCCCGTGGTGTCTGCCGCCTACACCGCGCCCCTCGCCTACTCCGCGTACTCCGCACCCCTCGCCGCGTACTCCGCCTACCCCTACGCCTCACCCTACGCTGCTTACTACCTGCGCAAGTGAAATGGACAAACACAATGTACCTACAAAAAAATTGGACATAATGAACATTAATATATAGCAGAAGATAAATAATAAAGTATAGCTTCGATCACAATTTATGCATTTTAATACTTTCCTTATCCCAAGTAAACTTCAAAGAGTTCAAATATGAAGAAAATTTACGCCCTCTTTTAACTGATGGATACTGTCGAATTTATTGACTCATATAAATATTTAGTAACAATTAAACAAGTCACAAAAGATATGCTAATCAATTTCCTTCAGAATTTTGACTACGCTAAGCTACTACGACCACTATAATCTAGGTTCTATACGTAGAACCTACCAACAAACCACATTTCAACTCCAATAATTAAACAACGACTAGATACACGAAGTTCTAATTATAATGTCAGCGCTAATTAGATTCAGCAGAACTAGAAGTAACTAACCACATTAACGTTTTAATACCTTTTAGTTCAAAATTAGACTAATTTTTACGAAAATGTTTGCTAATACGATAATGGCTTTTAGGTAATGATATACAAACTTTTTATAAAAGCTTCAAATGTAAACATGACTGGGGAGAATTTTAATCCCATTATGTTACTTATTGTGATTGATGTAACAAAACACAAGGTGACATTAAAGATTTGAATACATTATGTAACAAAAGAAAAGTAATGGCCTCTGGGTACCAACCTACCTATATTTTTAGGTGCAATGTAGCAATCAGGTTGTTCTGTTGATCTAATGTCTCCATACCATGACACAAAGACTTAATTCACTACAAATTTCA